TAAAGCACTTGTTGCAGAAGGTTCTTCAAGCACTCATTTGTTCCTCAACTCGCCGCTACGCGGCTCATTTCGGAATTTCAAATTTGTGCTTGAATAGATAGATACCTTGTAACTTTAATATACTATTCTAGAATAGCCTTGTGTGTCATTTTCCGCCACTATAAATAAATGTTTTCTTTGCTAAAGATCGTTATACTTCTTACTTGTAATAATTCTTTTTTGTCCTGTTTGGAGTTCTCTACCCTCCTTATGACGGTTTCAGGACTGGACCACCTACACATAGTTTTGAACTTTTTCTTTGTTTTCTTACAAGAACGAAGAGCTTCACCTTACCTTAATCATAAACTCAACATCCTGATGCATCGCATCGAAACGTTTTTTATCGTACTCCTGCCTTTTTCTTATATTTTTGTCGCTTGATACTACATTGTTAAAAGTTTTTCGCAAAGTCCGATGATGTTTTCATTTCCCAGTTGAGTTTTCATTAGATTGGCGTGTTTGGGCAGTGTAGGCAGCCACTCACAGAGGCCACAGACCACAAGGTATGGTGGGTATGCTGTTGTTCTTGCTTGGACACTTGTATTATAGTCGTTGGCTTGACTTACCAATTCCTTTGATCTGTCCCCCTAAAAACTGCCAGCATTTCTGTCAGCATTTGATTATATTTCTTAAGGTCTTTTGTTTGAGGGTGATATGCCATTGAAAACAGATTTTCCGCTGTCTCCATCAAATCTATTATTTTTGTCACTATTAGGCTTCGAAAAACAGTTTCTCTATCGCTTACAAAACTCGGAATGTCCCAAAGAGCGTAATTACGTTTTCAAAAATGAAATTTGCGAAACTTTTTTTATGGACTAAAAAGCGATAACTTTGTGCACAAACAATTATCAGGGTTACACGTGTCAATTCAGTCAGTCGTTAATGCGCTTTCGGGCGAATTGTGCACATCGGTTTCAAATCAAATTGTAAATCAAGTTATTATGGCCAACTATTCAAACGCCGAATTGACTAGTGTACGGGCATCACTTCCAAGACCGATTTTCACTAAATGTTTGGGCAGCGATCATTGAAATCATCTAATTGGACCCCACATTTTACCTCAACGTTTAACTGGTGTTGTTAAATTGGATTTTTTTAAAAATGTTTTGGCTGATCTGGTGGAAGACGTGCCCTTGGCGACACGGAGGAACATGCGATTGATGGAGCTCCACCAGATTATGCCAAAGTCGTCACCAATGGATTGAACAATCATTTTCCCTATGGATGGATTAGTCGCCAATGGCCGCTAATGGTCATAGATTTAAATACGTTTTTTTTTTGGGGGGGGGAATACATGAAACAATTAGAGAATTAGTATCCGCAGCTCAAATTAACACCTTCGAAGGGCTGTGTGTGCGAACTATAGCTTCTCTAGGCCCAAAAGTACAAGAAATGTGCATTGCCCACCAAGGACCACATTTAGAGCAATTTTTTATAATAGCAAGTATTGAGCCACTAACATTGACACTGATCTATCTTAACGTAGCAAACATTTTTTTGTCTTACGCTGTTTCACAGTTTTTTTTTTCTTATGAATGAGTGTATATCGTATTATGACATAGGCGGAGACAAGTTTTCAGCCTCAACTTATTTTTAATTTTAACTCAGAAATGACACGTTTTTAGCAAAAGTTGGAAATAGAAAAATTGTTTTTCTTGACGAGTTCTATTAATGGTTAAAATATTTGCTCGCAATCCGCGAACATCCTGCATAACGACGCACCGATTCCGTACACACGATTACCATTGTGTTTCCCTGTTTCAATCTCGGAAATGAATCCATGAGATCTACTGACATCCTGCACCATATTTGCACTACTGGTATGGATAACAGGCAGCCGATCGGGTTTCTTAAAGTTTTCTTCTTTTTTTTTTTATTGACAATCTGGGAAACCTTTCTGAAATTTTACCACTTTCTTCGTTAGATTCGTCCAATAAACTCTCTCTCGTATCTTGTTCAAGTTCTTAGCCACACCCAAATGCCCGCTAAGTAGGTCGCTGCGATTATTGTCTCAAATTTCGTTTGGTATGACCACCAGATTCTCTAGTCTTTTAGTTCTCACATTTTTCTTGTTCAGTACTATGTCTCCGGATAGGTGAATTTTCACTGATTTGGGGTTTCACTGATTTGGTTGGTTAAAGCTAATCTTAGTTTTGAAAAATCAATATGCCTTGGAAAAAAAAAACTATTTTTCTGGGAAAGTGCCTTTTATGTGGCAATACAACAAAAATTATTATTAGTTATTTATTGTAAGAGTGTGTTAAGTAGCGTTTTATTCACGCTAATTTCGGTTAATTTTCTCAGGTGGATAAAACGCGACTAACACACGACTGCAATAACGCCAAATGTGCTTTCGGTTAAACGTAGTAAGCTGTTACGCGGTGCGCTGGTTACTAACAGTGGAATAAAGTTACTTTATTCCACTAGTGGATAAAGTGGTACTTTATACGCATCTAAAGTGTGGAATAAAGATTTTTAATAGAGTGATTGTGGATAAAAGTTGTTTAGAATCAACATATAGTCCTTTATATTGAATTTAAAAATTATCGGCCAACTATTTTTAATTTTTTTTTGAGATAATTGCTTTTTATCAACAGAAACGTCAAAAAATTTTTTTAGTAATAATCTAAATATATTTTTTTTTTTGTAATTGTTGAGGTTTTGAATGAAGTTGTGGAATTTAGTTAGTAAAAAGCTTTATTTACAGCAGCGTACAACTATGTTCTACAAATTATTCAAACAGATTAATCTTAAAAACTAAAAACTGATCCAATCATGATTCACACATATACGTCTTAACTTTTCTAGGACTATAACAATTAAACAAAGAAAACTATAAAGTTTATTGTTATTTTTTTTTTCTTAATTAGTTGCCGAAACTAATCTAATAACACTAGCCAACAAGCATTTTGTGACTGAGAAGAAAACAGTTATTTTTTGTTCAATTCTATGTGGTAAACTCAAAAATGTTAAAGAAAATTCCATACCACGTCAAATTTTAAAGTTAGGCATTTTAAGATATCATATGTAAGAATGTTCGACAAAATCGCCAAAAAACGAAACACTTAATAGTTATTTATTATACAAGCGGATAAAGTGGCCGTTTAATGAGCCGTTCGTTTAACCGCGCAAGCTGCGCAGCAGCGCGCGCGTTAATAACAGCGATTTCGATTTTGCCTTATATGTAAACCTTTCGATTTTAAAGATGAAAATATCAGTCATCAAATCGTCAGACATTTACAAATTTCATGATTATCCTGATTCCTATGCAGCGACCATGACAACGACTTGTTTTTTTATATTATTTTATAGACACTCTTAATTTTAAACAATTTTAAAATCCTCACATTTAGTCATAACTACAATACAGGGTGTTCAAAAAATCGCTCACTTCCGTGACACTGTGTCATCGGGCGGTGCCCTAGACAACAAGAAAAATGTTAAAAAAATCTATCTCTAAAAATTCCGAAGTTGTGAGAATTTAAATTTTGCACTATGACTCTATTTATTTCTGTTGGAAAAATAATTTTCCAAGTTTTTTTGCTACAGGCTATTAGAAGCGGAAACAAAGAAGCTGTATCCTAAATTGTAATT